CCGACCACCCTCATCTACCCCACCCTCCCGCCTCAAGAAACTCACCCCCGAGGAGCGCACCTACCTCCAAGCAAAAGGGGGTTGCTTCCGTTGTCGCCAATTGGGGCACCAACAAACCAACTGCCCCAACGCCGCACGATTCACCCGTCAGTCCACCTCCATGCGACCTGCAACCTCCGCATCACCGCCCTCGGCAAGCGCGGGCCCCTCCTCGTCATGAACACAGTCCCCAGAACACTGACCCGGCTTCAGCATTGCATCTGTCGGCCTACCCATCAGTGACATCCTTCGTCGCACCGATGGCCCATCCGACATCGACAATTCGTTTACCTTCCCCCTCTCCGGCGACGCCCCCTCCACCGGACGATTCCCAGGCGTCGCAAACACCTCCCACTGCCTCATGCTCCTTTACCCTTCCTCCAAATGCATCCACTATCMCCTTCTCCGATGTTGTTGAGGAACAAGCCCGGCACGATCGGCTTGTCCGCTTAGGCAACGAACAACGCCGCCTCAACACCATCATCTCCACCGCCAACTCATCTCGTTTCCACCTATAATTCATCGCTGCCACCCTTGGTGCGTCTACAACTCAGACTACCGCGCCTTGAACCGGATCACGATCAAGAACAAGTACCCCCTACCTCGGATTTCCGAGCTCCTTGATCGTCTCCGTGGAGCTAAGTACTTTACCAAGATCGACCTTYGCAGTGGCTTCCACCAGATCCGTATCCGTGAGGAGGACACCCACAAGACTGCGTTCCGCTCTCGGTTCGGGCACTACGAGTTTCTCCTGATGCCCTTCGGACTCACCAATGCCCCCGCTACCTTCCAATCTACCATGAACCACATGTTCCGCAACCTCCTCGAAGTCTGTGTCGTCATCTACCTTGATGACATCCTTGTCTTCAGCCCCACCTTCGAGTCCCACCTTCAGCACCTCCGCCAAGTTCTCTCGATCCTCCGCGAGCAAAAATTCTACGYCAAGCTCAGCAAATGTACGTTTGCCGCTTCGAGSGTCGAATACCTTGGCCATATTGTCTCYGMTGAAGGCATCCGTATGGASCCCTCAAAGGTCACAGCCCTCGTCGAGTACCCCCCACCCAAGACCCTCCTCCAACTCCGTTCCTTCCTTGGCCTTGCCAACTATTACCGCCCGTTGATTCGCAACTTTTCCGAGATCTCTTACCCTCTCCACGAACTCACCCGCAAGGACGAGCCTTTCTATTGGAACGATCGCCGCCAACAAGTTTTCGACTTACTCAAGCAAACCATCACCACGGCCCCTGTCCTCAAGATCGCCGACCCCACTCGCCATTTCTATGTCACCACTGACACCTCCGACTTCGCCATCGGAGCCGTACTGTCCCAAGATTTCCCCCGCGACACCGTCGAGACCCCCTCCATCAAGGACTCGCCCACTCACCCCGAGGCTCCACCTGGCGAATACCCCATCGCCTTCGCAAGTAAGAAGCTCCTTCCCGCGGAGATGAATTACCCCTCCAACGAGAAGGAACTCCTCGCCGTGATTCACGCCCTCACAGTTTGGCGCCCATACCTCGACGGGCAATACTTCACCATCCGCACTGACAACACCATCGTCTCCTCCATCCTCTCTAAGAAAGATATCACTCCACGCCAAGCCCGCTGGCTAGACTTCCTTGCCCAGTTCACATTCACCATTTGCCATACCCCCGGCAAAAGCAACCGCGTTGCCGATGCCCTCTCGCGACGACCCRACCACAAGCCCCCCGAGAAAGTCTACACCGCCATGACTCATATTCAACTCCTTCCATCACTTCATCATCGATACACCCAAGGCTATCTCTCCTGCTHAGACTTCGCCACCATTTACAACAAACTCCGCGATCTTGACCCAGTTCCGAACTACTCCCTCCACAACAATCTCCTTTACATCGATACCAAAGACACTCGCCGACTTTGCATCCCCGACGCACGAGGCCTCCGTACTCAACTCTTGGCCGAGCACCACGACGCCAAGACCGCAGGACATCTCGGTTTCCAGAAAACCTTCGACACCATTTCCCGCTACTTCTACTGGCCTTCCTTACTCGCCGACGTTAAGGCATACATTCGTTCGTGCCCCACGTGCCAAGCTGTCAACCCCTCGAACCGGGCCAAACCCGGCAAGCTCCAATCATTGCCCATCCCAACTCACCGGTGGCAGTCCATCTCCATGGACTTCATATGTGGCCTCCCCAAGACTGACCGCGGGCATGATTGCATCTACGTCATTGTCTGCCGCTTGACCAAACGTGCCCACTTCATCCCTTGCACGACCTCGCACAGTRCCAAAGACGTCGCCACACTCTTCTTCGACCATGTTGCTCGCCATCACGGCCTCCCCGAGAACATCATCAGTGACCGTGATCCTCGCTTCCTCTCACAATTCTGGAAACACCTCTTCACGGCCTACGGAACCACGCTCAAGTATAGCACTGCATTCCACCCACAGACCGATGGACAAACAGAGAAGATGAACGATACACTCCAAAGAATCCTGCGAAAGTATTGTCATCCACACCAACACGATTGGGATCAGTTGCTCACAGCCGCCGAGATTGCCTACAAYAACGTTGTCTGCCCCTCCACTGGCATGTCCCCTTTCTACCTCGACCTTGACTACAATCCCCGATTGCCCTCCGATTTCTTGCTTCCCTCGCAGCTCAGCCCCTCCACCCCTTGCCCCTCTCTCAATGAATGGGTAGCAACAATGAACAGACTCCTCAGAGAAGCAACCGAAGCCCTTGAAAGAACACAAGAACAACAAGCCAACAAGACTAACAAACACAGACGTGACGTGTCATTCAAAGTAGGGGACAAAGTCTGGCTTTCTGCCAAACGCTTTGAACCCGAACAAGGCTTGTCCAAAAAACTCTCAAACAAGTGGCTCGGTCTCTTCCCCATCATTGAACAAACCTCCCCCGTCAACTACAAACTCCAACTTCCCCCTGACATGAGTCGTATTCACCCAGTCTTCCATGTCGAGTACCTAAAAGAATACCATGAATCTCCGCTCCAGTTCGCCGACCGCCCATATCCTAGACCTCCACCAATCATGCTACCCACAGGCCCTGAATTCATTGTCGAAACCATCATCGGCCGACGAACCACTCAGGTATCTGATCATCCGGAACCAATCACTGAATACAAAGTCAAATGGACGGGATACCCCGACGAAGAATCTACATGGGAACCTCTCTCTAATCTTAAGAACGCCATGAAACTTGTCCGCGCCTATGATCGTGTTAATCCTACGCCATAGATACCTATATCACTATGGCATAAACCCCCGCTAAAAACCCTTGCAACCCTGCTCTACACACACCCTTGAACCCAGTCCACCCTTCCCTTGACCCTCATACCTGATGTCTGATCTGCCCTTGCCCTCGCCTAGCCTTGTCCCATCTGTCCTCTCCACTACCTTGTCTCTCTTGTCCAATGCTTATGAACTTGCGTGACGCCGGCGATAAAGGATCTAATGGCAAGCGCACGAGGACGATGGTCTGCTGCCTCACTGTTCATGGAGATTATGCAGCTGGTTTGGCCACCATGCTGTTTCATTGGCCGGCATCCCGACTCGCGGACTTACGGGAGCAGCAACTTGTGACATGGATCTTTGCATCAGTCTGCGACTTCCTTGCTTCCAGATCAGACCTCATTGCAGTTCGTGTACCGGACGCACCCTAGCACTTGGACTTTGACACTACGACTACGCTTCTTGGACTTCTACCTATCGCAGCTGCTGAAGACCGCTTCTACCACCTACTCCAAAGACCTGATCAAGACCGCTGCAGACCCCCTTTCAAGACACTTGGACACTTTGTTCCTACATGAGATTCTGCTTCCGACTCCTTCGGACACACCAGCCTTCACACCCTGAACAAACATTTTCATTTTTATTTTTCCTGACTTTGACAACCCTGTAGAACATCATTAGCAGATCCCTGTTTCCCTAACCATTGT